TCTGCCTTTGGATATCCGGAACGCGGAGTGCTCTTCCTTCTCACGTTATTTTTGCCCCCACATTGATACTTTTAAGAAACGAGTGGAGTACACTTCATCTCATTTACCTTACGCGACATAGTCTGTTTCCATCAAAAGACCAATTAACGCAAATAATCTGCTCACCAGCCCTTTCCGTTACTTAGCTGTGAGCGGACCAGCATATGCCTTCATGGGATTACCGGTGAGTCAACTCAAACCAGAATTTTTCCTTTTTCCTGTCACTTTAAACAATCCTTTTATAATCCCCGTTCTGGTCGTCCTAAGGGACTTGTCAAGTATTCGTTTTTTACTTCTTCCGAATCATTGTTCATTGGATGCTGCGTTCAGCTAGAAGCAGAGTTCAAGCAGAAGCAGTACATAAGTACTTCAAAAAGCTGGATTCGTTCAAACTCCCGAGCAAGATGCTTTCGCCTTACAACACATTCCTTCTCCCATGGCAAAATTATAGAAAATAAATTTTCGAATTTCTTGTGGGAATAATGTCTTGACCATCTGCACTGAACCAGACCCAAATGCCGTTACTCAAAAGATAGACTGTAGTAGACCTCTATGGAAACAAGCTGAAAACAACTTACGAAGACGGACTAAGTGCAAGTGGCATAGAGATAACAAAACCCCAAAAGATGATTATGCCCGACACCTTTTAATGGAATTAAAATCATTTGCTCTGGAAAAACGTCCAAAAATCTTGAATAATCTAGCCTGTGCTGAGAGTGCTTTTATTTAGTTACCTTTGTAAAAGAGAAAGAAGCAGACAAAAGGGACTTTTTAAAAATATGATTTAACTTTTGGGGAAACACTGCGTTTTAATTAATAAATTATTGTGTTTTAACTGTATTTGCGATTATGTAAGAGCTCATCTAATATATTCGAACCATTAGGTACGTGAAAATAAAGTTTATATTGTACTGCTCATGACGGAAAAGCGGGCTACGTTGTTTTTGTATAGGACCACAAAATTTTCACCATTTAGTCCAGTCCGTTGAGTGATCAACTTCCCGGGGTTTTACTGTAGTTAACCTGCCTACACTAAATGGAGAGTTTGTCAGCATTCCGTGGGTAATCTTGAAACCGAACATCCCATGAACTAAGGTTTCCGATGCATGGGGTTACCGCAGAAACTTTAGTGTGAGCACCGCGGCATACGAGCTGGTGTGATTGATGACCTGCAGAAAATGCCATGATTGGGCTCTGTATTTTTGACTCGTGTTGTTAAAGATGGTCATTTGACTGATGGCTGTTTCTTGGAAGGCAGTTTTTTTGTTTTCACTCTTCATAAACTGTCGTTTATGCTTGTTTGTCTCAGGAGGTGTGGTTTCCTCGTTCGAAGGTCAGCACAGAAACTGTCAGTCAGACAAGTAGGCTGTTTTGTCTTTTCAGATTAAATAAAGTCCTCTTTCGTTCTCGAGCTAGGGTTTATGCATATTCGTCTAAACTTTGGCCCTAACAGCTCAATATACCTGTATCAAAAGATCATATGAGTACCATGAACACAACTAGTATCCACTCACAAACCTATATCACACGCGGTCATCTGGTTCACAAATAGCGGGATCCAAAAAATAACCCGGTTATTGATGAGCAAACTACAATTTTCCCATCTCTTTCGACTAGACTTAGTAATTTATAAGGGTGCAATTCCGGACAAGTTTCTTCGCGAGCAGGTTCCCAGCTGCCCAAACACTTAGTTCTTTGTGAAACTGAAGGCGTCGGAATAGAAGGAATCGCAATGCAATAAAGGAAATCTGATTAGTGATGTTTTGTGCGTCGTAGAATCTACAGTTTTTCCATGGGCGAAATGAAGTACGCATATAGGGTGAATTCGAACAGTTGAAATGCGAAGTTGTCGTTGACGGTGCCTACGGGGACGCCATTAAAATAGGGAGTCTAATTATGGTCATGTGTTAATGGAATCCATGGGCGCTATAATTTTCTGCTGGCAGTGCAGGTGATATGTTACTACTCTTGTGGACCCCAGCCCAATCAGACTCCACAAATCAAAATGTGAAGAACTTGCCAAAGAGCTATAACACTATAAACAAGAGCTACAGAGGTTAGTACATCAATGGGTGTGATCAGAAGTCCAGTCATGAGTATGGTTTATGCACACATGGAGGTTTAATATTCAGCTCTGACACACGCTACGGACAGGGATAAATAACGGAGCAATGTAGTTATAGTACACGAGGATGGATGTAAAACCACAATCGTCGAATAAAGTTGACACAGCTAATACCGCTGAAGTAATTTACCGAGGAATTCTTGAAGTACCGAATTTTTAATGGTCAGAAAACGTGGAGAACAAGAAACTACTGACGTACCATGATCCTTTGTGGGGGCGTATATTGTTTTGTATCTCTGGTCGAGGATGTGGATGCACAATCGGACAACACCCAGTGGAGGCGAATTTTAGATGCAATCTTGATACAGGAGTTGGCATAGCTGTTAATAAATTTCGGTCTTATATTGACGCTACACCGAGTTAGATGCTTCACTAGTCTGACAATTACTTTGAGGTCCTTATTCAGGGGACCAGGGAAGAGCACAGGAGAATAATAAGTCCAGTACAATAACATTCGCTGTGGTAAAATGCTGGATCAAGAATGGGAGTACGGAAGAGAACCTGAGACGTGTAACATAGAATGAGTTTTCTAACTTTAGTAGATGTTTCGTTTACTTGCAGAGACCACGTAAGCCCCCTGCTTAGCGTCCCTCCCAGGTATTTTGCTAAAGTGGAGGAGATCAAACCTGCACGGTCGAAGCAAAGTTGTAAGCACTGCGTTACAATTTGCTGGTGGTGATTTCCTCTGAACAGCGAAAATAGAACATTCTTGCATTTTAAGGTGCTCAACGGTAGGCAACAAGATTTGAACCAAGCTGTGAATTAGTCTAGGAGGGTTTGTAGCTTGAACAATTGCTATGTTTGGATGATGGACGCCAAGCATTACGTCATCCGCATAGTTCAGCAAGATGGCTTCTTCAAGAACTGGGCTTGAGCTAGCGTAAATGAAAAACAGGAATGAGGACCAAATGTTTCCCTAAATTCGTGGATGGTGGCGAAGAGTTCTTCACCGAAAACCTGTTAAAAGGGGGTAAGCCTAGTCAAATAAGCTCTCAGCGGAAGAATAATCGAAGTTTGAAATCTCGAATCTATTAGATCGCGCGACAGCTTTTTACGGTGCGCATAACCAAAAGCGTTGCTAGTATTTAGGAGGCTGCTACGGATGGATTTATTTTTATCATCGTGACGAAAGCACGGTATGTATTGATCCAAAGAGCTCGAATATTTTACTGTTATCAGTGATTGTTTGAGCTTGATATTTGCACTCATTGGTTGCTTCTGAATATCATGACTTTCCTTAGCTGACTGTGTCCAACACTTGATCTCTCCTTCATCCAGCAAAGCAATGTTCGACCGTTTCATATTTCCAGGAATAGCAACGGTGCGCATTCCATCTGATTCCTGAGGTTTGCACCCGTAACTCAACTGTTACCAGTCTGTGGTTCAGACAACTGAGCTAAGGGGGCGGCAACGACCGATGGAATAGAGCGCCGATCACAATCCATTGCATGTTACCACCGTGCGGAGAACAAAGCAGCCCTTTCATCGAATGACGAACTTGCCAAACTTAAGCCGCCAATTAGCCTATGGTAATATATGCAGCTCAGGCTGCGTACTGATTACGAGGGATTAGAGGATTTGAAGGTTATACGTAGAAATTCTTCACGTCTGTGTCTAGATGTAACGAATCTATAATTCAAATCCTCCTCCTCCTGCCTTGGGAACTCTCATTCGTTTGCCACTGGCTGGCCGGCTTCAAGCACCGCCAATCCAGGTCTACAGCTGTGCAATATGTATGGACCATTCTTATGGGCTATCTTCCTTAACAAAGGTCACTTCTCGTTCTTCACAGTCTTGTAACAATGTAAAGCTGCTCTTAGTGATCTCTATCCTAATCCCAGTAACTGTGTTGCTACATACGCACAGCAGCATTTTAGAAGCCTTAATAATACCCATCTTCCTAAAGGACTTTCTCTCTTTTAGTATGTCACTGATGAATTCATGAGCCTACTGTTTAGCCGCATGCAGGCAAGCTTGAACAATTTCAGTGAAGATCTAGGGTATATGAAACAGTCCAAGTGTATCGATCAAAGCCAAGTCAACTAACAAGTTGTTTTTCGGTGCTTACTCACCAAACCATATAGCACGTGTTTTGTTGCTAACATAAAACAGAGCAGCGTAAGTATTGTGGATGTAACTGATTTAAAATGGGACACGTGTTACAACCTATTCACGCCATCGTTTTCACCGCACCGGAACCTGTATTGGCGACAGATGACTACGGTAGAACTAGAGTCCTCACGAAGTGCTTATGCACACACTAAGAGAGGTGCTTAGGATGCTTAGTGATCACTTCTGTCACCGTAAGTTCGTGGTGTTTGCTCAGATTGCAATAACACAGAATTACTCCCCATATATCCCACATACTTAGGCTCAGGTGGACAGCTGTGACACATCCAAAAAGGCAACAGTGAGAAGTCCATTTTCTTCCCTTGGAAATCTAATGCATGACCCACGCTACTTCGCAGCTATCGGTGTAACCACCTTAGTTGTCAGTGTCACGGAATGGTATGTGACTTGAGTGGTTTTCACGTCTGGATAAATTGTTGTATTCGAATCCTGTTGGGTTCACAACCGACACACGCCGCTAGACGATTTTGATAGTGCGAGCTGCCACCCAATGTTTCCTTAAGCTTATGCCTCCTCGCTAGCTTGGATTGGTTGCAGTAACCCATCTTCCTACCTCGTACGTCCACGAATAATGGCTATGTTTACAGTACTCACTTCTATGTAAGTTATATGAGTGTGACCGTTAACATGCTGTCAACTTTTATCATCTGCGGAAGTTAGCGCCTATCTAAACTTGATTTCTTGTCACTCCTCGCTTTTCTTCAAGATGCGCTGGAGAAAGAGCCATTGTTTCAAAATGACATGACCGCAGTACGCATGATTGTCTCTGCTCTACGAACTCACTTGGCACCGGAGCCAAGAACTTCACTGATGTCAAACTCGTTACAACTCAGCAGTGAGATGAGCAGTAGTTCGGTTCTTTTTGGACTTCAAGAACCCAGTTGGATTATGGGCAGTCACTCCCGAGAGCATTTATCCGAGAGTTCAAGTACCATGGCTTTGTCCACTCAATGTGTGACGTTGTCGTGCGTCAAACAAGGACCTCGCCCTTCCACTATTGGACACTTATGGGCGCTGGGCGGAAAAACCATGACTACAACGAGAGCATTACAAGAGATTTTGGTGAGTCACTTAGCAGTTGTCACTTGAATAAACCTTCCGGTTGCTCGGGTTTCAATCGGTTATTCACAGCCTCGTGTATGTTCATCGCAACTTGACTCATCCACACAACTAACACGTGTCCGGAGAGAGCTGGGCCACCGTCTCGTCCCATTGAGATTAATCAACGACGAGCACTCTACGATCGTACGCTTCGTGACCGACTACTTATGATAGTGGGCCATAGATAGTAGCCACATCCGTCTTAATTACAATAAACTTCCATACGTTGCCATTCACAGGATTGGACAAAAGTGGTCAACATACAGTGGTGGTCAACCTACTGAGATTTGCATTCATATAGTTCACATGGGGAACGTTCAAGTAATGAAGAAAGAGCAATCAAATGAGATCTGGTCAGGATATAGAGGTGATCAAGTTCGGAGGTTTTACCATGTGTTATTCCGATATTACACGTTCTAACCTCCAATGACATTCCCGCTACTACCGTTTATGGAGCACCGCTGCGTCTAAGAGACATAAAATCTATCGCTATATTACCAAGTTTGTAACATTGTAAGCGTATCCATGTACTTGCGACAAATTCCACCGAGAACGTTGTGATGTCATATGATATTTGGAAACTTATCAAAGAACGTGTTGCTATTGGAGGTCACATATGCTGTCACAATGTAGCAATCTTAGTAGCTCAGTTACGTAAGCCGCTAACATCGCCCATGATCAGTCGGCACGAGTCACTGGCATACATGATGTGTGATCGTAGAAGCAAAAGGAGTACACGCTGCAGATGATTGGAAAAACGATAGGGATAACAGTGACGGGAATGATGATGATGACGATGGTGATGAAGATGATGATGAGGGTGGTGGCTGATGATAATCGTTTTGGTCATGATGACGATGTTTTAGTACTCGATGCAATTGTTTGTGTTGGCGGCTGCTCGGGTGCTACTGGTAACTGTTAACTGGGTGGTGGTGGTGGTGGTAGTACTGGTATTCCTAGTGCCTTCGGTGTATATAGTTAGCGACTTCTGTTGAACTTTTCTGTTGATCATTTTCCTAGGAATATGATCCCTACTGGAACAGCTGGAGGGTGGTTGGTCAGCTACCTGGACAACGGCAGCAGTGTGGCTGCATTGTGCTGCGTGATGGCCGTTTACTCGTCGTCGGTGGCAGGGACGAATTGAAGACTCTAAGCACGGTCGAATGTGTGCACACGGAAGAACTCTCCATCCAAGCGGAAAACAAAGTGGCCATTACCAATCGAGATGATGCTTGCAACTGGCCATCCAATGAGTCTGGGACACTTCCTAGACATACCAACGGCCCGTCTGGAGATCACGAGATGCAATCTTTAACCGGATCCTTCGTGGAGAATACCGCACAACGGAGCGGTTCCACTGAACCACGTAATCCACACGAATTCGGTATGAGTGAAGTTGGCGGTGGTGATAGACCCTATGGATGGCACGTGGTCTCCGCGATGGCCACACATCGGTAGGTATACATGCATTTGCCCATGTGTTCATTGACCATTGCAGCATTTCAAAACTCAACAACCGATGGCAGTTTGTCGATGTTTTGCCATACTACTGATCACTGCTCGGTGCTGCTGATAACCAGTCGCACCACCTAGTCAACACACTGCCTGTGAGAACGGTCTACATGTTACCTGTCTTTCTTACTCCACTCTATGATACTTACATGTCTCCAGTTGCATGCTGAATACTCACTAACACATTTTCTCAACTCCATATGTTTCCTCCTAGCTCTTGTTCATGAAATCAGTCAGATTGACGTATACTCGAGTCATACAATTCTCCTAATCCACAGCTAAAGTGGTACGAAGGGTATAAGGCAGATGCGCAACAGCTCATTCCACTTTTTGTCGTTATATTCGTGATCCCAAATTTGGGGAAGCTTTGCCAGCCTTGAAGTCACAGTTTGACCGAGCGGTGGATATCGTTACAATATCTTTAAGAGTTCCACGGAATTTACTCTTTCCATTGCTGTCGGTTTAAGTCTGATATTCAGGTTTTTGTTGTCTATTAATGTCTGTTCATTTCATCACCTTGATAATCGGTATGCGTCCGTTTAGAGATTAGCATGTGTAGCGTGAAATCAAGCGAGCAAGCACCATAAAGATATCCACAGTGCGTATACTAATGTTTTAATATACTACAAGATGGTAGACATAAAGCAATAGGTGGCACTCGGTCAAACATACTGTAGAATACGCTTCAGAGTAGTATTTGCCATATCCTCTGCGATTTGAACGCACACCTTATCTAAAGATTAAGTATTTAGGTTTAGCAGGTGCCTTTATGATTCATAGGAAGTCATATCAATGTTGTTGTTGCTCAGTCCAGACGCTACATCTCAAGACCCGTTTAGTCCTAGTGTGAACTAATCAAGTAGACAGCCAGAACTGGGTGTGGTACTCGGGATCCAATGATCAACGACCGATGCATTGTTACCTTGGCCACTGAAGTCCGTAAGCAACGCCTGGCCCAGTGGTTGGGCATTCAAACTTTAGTTGGGAGAACCCACCGTGTGGTTGGATTACGAGACGCAATGTCTATTGAGACTTCGGCTTACTCTGAAGTAAACTTCGAAGTGAACTTCCAATATCAGAAAGGTTTCGACAAACCACAGAATGATGCGTTATATCTATGCTTAGTCAGACGGCTGTCAGACTCCTTCTCAAGTTCAGTGCCTAAACCTGGGCTGGGCTCGCTTACCACCAGTTTTCAAAACCACTGAACAACCGTCCAAAGCTGTCAATCGGTTTACTTATCTGAGTAGCCGGATCACCTCTGGAAGATATATCACTAAAGTGGTTACTGCACGCATTGTCAATACTCATGTAGGTTTTCAGAGCCTCCGGCACTTGTGGAAACGGCGCGGTGTAACTGTGTTTGTTAAGAGGAGGGTTTACAGCACCGCGGTGTCACTCTATGAATCAGACACCTGGTAGATGCATGCGGTGAGCGTGAGACCAATTATTGGTGAAAGTCCACTGATTCTTCGCAGATGCTGATGAACTAGATAGCCTTAAACCCAATCCAGAAAAGCACCAAACGACCATTTCACCCAGTTGGGGGTCGTCAGTGGTGTGCATTCCAGAATGGGGGTTAATCTGACTTGCCAGCAGTAGAGAAGAATCAATAAAGTAGAAAAAATGATTGTATTTGTTGAATAGTACTACTGCCTGGAATTAAGGAAGAACGACCGATTTAGTAAGTGACCCACGATTAACTAATCAACCGGGAGCGGAAAGAAACAAGTCTTCGCGAAGTAAAAGTAAATGACCCAGTGAAATGTGTGCAAATATAGACAAACTGCAGCAGTTCTTCGCTTCCGCTATAGTCTCCAATAAATAGGCTATTTTAGGGAAGCTGACTTCCATAATAACTACATCCAGATCGCTTTTAATGTCACCTGTTGATTGGTCGCCTGTGGATGGAAAGTAATTGACCGGGGTGCGGCAACGCTGTTCTCTTCAGGCCCGTAGAGTTAATGTCAGTGGGGCGTGTACCGCGCTGTGTTACAACTGGCAACTTGATCTTGTTTATCGGTATCGTGCTCCTTGCCCCAGCGATCTTAAACGGGGTCTCGTGAGAACCGAACAGTAATCATTGATATGAATAAAAAACCAAGGCTTGGCAAGTCCCGTTGGATAGTTTCTGTGAAGGACAAGTTCAAAAGTGGTAACAGTACACTGAAACGCGCGTCTGTGGACACACCATAATATCCACGTTAACACACAAGTATATCCGTGGGGCTTTGTGAGCAGTGTTTGACTGCGTCTTTTCAACACGGGATGAGCAGAATTCAAATCAAGTAATGCAGATGTTGTAATGCATCGTCGAGTCTTTCTAACTGGTGCGTGGTCGAAGAACTGACAAAAGTCGGAAGGACGTTCCAAGGTCAACAACTTGTAAGAGGAAAGCAATTCCGGTGGCATTCCAACCGACTGTATTAAGTGGTCAGTTCCAACTGCTGGCCCCTCAATTTTGTGTTTCAGAAGGGGACGGCAAGCGTGACCGGGGTATTTCAAGATCTTGTACGCCAGAATGAGGTCACCACGTAGACGACGATAAATTCCACTGTACACAGCAGTTGATATGGTAGGAGGAACACTCCCCTCCACATTTTCGGTTGCCCTTCGCTGCGGGGTTTCCAGTGCAACCAGATCGCGTTTTAAGAAGGGTTACCAGGTTTGAATCGTGTACTCTACATGCGTTGAACATTTGGGGGAGGATGGAAGGTTAGAACCTCGCCCGAACGCCTTCCGTAAGAGACCAACTTGTTGGTTCGCGGTTTTTGACACATTTAAGGACTGCTCTGGACAGTTGAGGCTGCCTTGCATCACCAGCCCAAGATCGCGTTACTGTGTAACGATCTTCAAGATGTGGTCTCCAAACTTATAGACGTTAGTGAGCTTTGGCTTACCTGTAAAGTTTTGCACTTACCCGTGTGGAATGGAAGTAGATTTACCTTTGACCATTCAGAAGCACGGTCCAGATCTCGTTGCAGTAGGTCATGATCCTCCTGAGTACCGTTAACCCGCCATATCTTAACCTCACCGTCAGAAGGCAGGAAATTCTGTGTGATGGCATGCGTGATGTCGTCAATGAAGACCAAGCTCAAGCGTGGTCCGAACATTGACCCTTGTGGAACACCGCAGCCCACATCAATGGGATCAGAAGATAAGCCCCGAACCCGAAGCCCACGCTGAAGAAGGAAAGTTTCGATCCAGTCAAGGACAGCGTGCTCAATTCCCTAAGTTTATTGCTTTTGGAGAAGTATATGGTGACCTAAGAGGTCGATGATTTTAGAGAAGTCGAGATACGTGACATCAGTACCGGTCTCACCATCTGCTTCTTCGGTCCAACCGCCACGCGCAATAAGTAGATTGGTAGTACACGATCGAGGTTGACGGAATCCGAGTTGCTCCTGCGCTATGACGTTAGATTCTTCTAAGTAGCTCGTTAGTTTCTTAGCTATGCTTGGCTGCATCACCTATGAAAGCAGTGGGAAGGAGATCACTGTGCGATAATTAGGGGGTTCCTGACGGCTATCACCATTGCAAATCCGGTTACTACTATCCAGCTTCAACACGTTAGAAATTTGCTATTCATCCAGAAATCTTTGTATGAATCGGATTAGTGGCTCGGTAATCCCCCTTAGTTGCCACCTGCGGTACTTTCGGGGAACGTTGTCAACTCCGGGGGCCCTGTGGGTGCGCAACAATAGCAGTTTCCCCAAAACAATTGTTGTACACAAAGTGAGGTGTGTAAATACCAGCGTCTGTGGGAATGGGACAAGTATTTGACATGCTGGTGGCGCGTCGAAATACTGGAGCTGTAGAGCGTTGGCTGCATCCTAGGCGGTTTGAGCCCATCAGTTTGTTGAGATGAGTGGGGGGGGGGGACACTACGCTTCTCTTTCCGGATGCTGTTAACTTGTTTCTACAAAATATTGATGTTGGCTACTTTTCAGCTAGGTTTCCGTGTACTAATTTGTCCTCACGTACAAGTGTGGTGCAGTGATTACGATGCCCTACATAGTCGTTCCAGTTGTCAGGACTAGGGTTTACTCGTAAAACACGCCACGTTGCGTTTCATAATGACATGCGTTTTTGGCTTCTACTCCGAATGCACGATGGAGCTGTTTTAGAACAAAAAGGCCTATTTTCCGATGTGATTATGATCAGATCACTGAATTTATCATAAAACCATGCAGGCAGTATCAGTGGAACAATCATCCGAAAAGTGGCTTCTTCAAAGAATATGTCGCAGTATGTTAGTGTCGGAAACATTTCAGTATATTCCAGTGGATATTCCGTAGGACACACATAGTCGCAAAGTATTGTTGCGTGAGCCCTCAACCTCAGAGGACTCTCCATCGTTGGGTTATCGATCACGAGCTCCCTTTCGTGAGCATTAAATTAAGCACATATGGCTTATTTCTCGCTCTGAATCGGGTGGGCGAACTGACGTGGCTGAAGGGCGGAATGCTTACAATATGCTCTTCCTGGTCGGTCTGACTGGGGATGCCGGAATTTCTAGTCAGTAAACATATAATTCACTTGAAATGAGGATATGGCTGTATGCTTGTCGCAAGATCATCCCCAAGAATTATGGTAGGTGTCTGGTACTAATCCCACACGAGAGAGCTGGAACATGTACTGCTAGATTTTCCAGAGAGGATAAAATAGCCCTCCGGCGCTTGTCCGGATGTGCGGTGGTCACCCCATTGAGTCTATATCTGATGGGTTCAACTTGTAAACGCTAAAGGTTGGTTTTTTAATACAAAAATGATATCTGGGTCAATTCCTCAGATGAAACCAGTAAATCAAAAATACATTTGAATTGCCGCAACAAAACCAAGTGGCAAAGCATACAAGCTATGCGGATAGACTGCGCAATATAGCGGTATCGATCCGTGGGCAGGGCCAAAGTAGCAACCACAAACCGTATGGAGTGCTTTCCCCAAGAAGTCAATCAAAATCAATCAGTACAAGAGCACTTTAACTGCATCATACGACAAGTCGTGACACGTCTTACGCGACCAATAGTATATCAGACGAGCACATATAATGGTATGCTATCGGGTGATTTATGATTGCGTGCTCAACGAGTAGTACGCATTTCGGGACGTTCACGCCCGTTGGATGCAATTTGATGTTGGCTAGCAACATCTTGAGAGACCAATGGAGGAACAAGATTTCCTTAAGGAAGGAGTTGAAAAGATTATGCATGCGATTGGCTGAAAAAAGCTAAGATGTGTACTTGTGGTGACTAGTCCTTGAAAGCGGGACGTGACTGAACTGGACATTGGACATACGGAACGTGACACGGAGAATGCCAGATATGTGAGGTCCGTAACGGGAGTGCACCGGAATTTGCATATAGGACAACAACAACTCGGTGGAACGCCAGATCAGCTAGTGCCGGTGACGAATACCATCCATACATGGGTTGACATACGAACAGCTTCGGGCGGACACGAAATTCCGACTACACAATCTATCTAACACAAAAGCACTGTCACCAGACGAATCAAATGAAATCAGCTCTGGTTGATATGGCAGCTTAAGTCGAGCTAAAACCTCATCAACACCTCGGCACCATCATGCAAGACCATGGGGTCTTGCCAGTCAACACACATTGCTCTTGGCTCCTCTGGACTCGTCGTACCATTTTTACCACAGGTTACTCCCTATTTTCGTCTTTAATTCGTTCAGGTTCCAGTCGAAACTCTGTGCGCCACTGGTCGTTACCAGGCCGACGTCGTGGTTACGCCATAGATTTCGACCCTGCTGGCACGGTATTTGAAGCAGATTGTGTCAACAGTGTGACACAGTTTCGTCACGTGCCTCGTGGTTTAGGTGTAAGTCTGGAAGAAGAGAAAGTGCTGGTGAAATCCGCTTTTCTCATCAGCGGGGAATGCTGTCCAAGTTAGTATTGAATCTGACCATACGCTTTACTTCGCGTCCCATTCAACATGACTCATAGAGATGCTAAATGAGACTTAGTGTTAAGCAGTTTCACCGAATTACCCCTTATTAATGAACAGTTTCTTGCGTTATAACATCCTTTTAAGTTATATTTCCCTTCTCCCTATCGTAGACATGGTTTAGGTGTGGCATTTCTAGAGGGCGTCGTTTACGCGGTGGGCGGTCATGATGGATGGTCTTACTTGAACACTGTGGAACGGTGGAACGGGAGAGCCAAATCTTGGTCACCTGTCACTCCAATGGCAGTCCAGCGCAGCACGGTTGGCGTTGCGGCTTTGGATGGATTGTAAGTTTTCGTACGTCATACAGTTAAACCTATGCCATGTCCAGGATTTTACCAGATAAATTGGTTTGTCACCGCTACGCTACGTTCTATGTCCGAATTCTCGAAGCACCAATTAGGAAACGGGGCCTTGAACGTTTGTTCAAGCTTGTCACCGTAACCTAACGTCTGCTGGGAACGGCACATCTGCAGTTAGCTTGATTAAGGGATTTCATGTTTTAGCTGTCGAACTTGTTACCATTGTACCTGCGCTCTCACAGGTTAGTGTATGGATAAATTGTGAGAATTCAGTGACCATTGACTAGAGGCACCAGCGTGAGGCATGGAAGCAATCAGCCAATCAAGCCTGTTCAGTTCTTTTCATCAAGGCAAATGGTTGACGATATTTGTGTGAACTGTATAACTGACTCAGAATTGGTTCGTACTGTTACAACAGAAGTGTGGTGAAGACAATGGAAGGCAGGATGCAAACTGAACAGCATTGACTACTATGAAGCGACAGGTGAAACGAACACAGTTGGCGAGCCGGACCAAATGCCTGTAAGATAGGAAGAACTGCTGATTTCATAATCTGTAACTTTCTGTTCACTCATGGGTAGATGGATTTGGCGAGATTTTATTCAGTTCATAACACTCCGATTACAAACCAGGTATGCAAGCCGCCAATCGGGAAAAGCACCAGGCTGCCGTTTCGTCCTCTTGGTATTCATCTATGTATGTTGCCCATTCCCTCGGTCCTCTGAAGGTGACCGGACATTTTGATCGCCGACTCTAATTCCTCCTTAGTTTATAAAACTACACTAATGCAATTTAGTGGAGACTCCACATGTACTAGTTAAAAAGCGGTTACGCTCACATGTTCTCACTGATAATCACAATGAAGACGCAATGCATTGAACCAAATGTTAAAAATATACTGGCTTAATTAGCTTAATAAAGCAAGCATTACGACATTGCATTGTAGGATAAATGGAGTCGGACGGTTACTGCACGCATCAGCATGACCTGCAAAGTTCAGCATAACACTTTTCACTATTGGGAAGGGTAAATGTCAGTCTGCCCCACTCTTAAGTAAGGTTTGCGACAGTGCTGTGGGCTTAGTAATAGTGCATGAATCTTGGAGGTGGTCCCTGAGTTTGTGACATCAACATATTACTAATCTTTTACCACTGATGACCGCGAGATGCCACTCATCTCTGATTGGATCACTGGGTGAGATCGACTACGTTCATCTAATGGTGTCTGATAACAGGTCCCTTCACAGCACCAGGTAATTCGTTAAACCCTAATTACCACAAATCTCTAGGTGATGATCTGCGAGAGTATACCGATCGCTTACCTTAATGTGTATTGCCTGCAGATTTTGTTCCTGGTTGATCGAAATTATGGGAGGACTACTGAATGCCTCGATGAAGGACTTTTAGGAACCAATGTAATGGTTGAGTCCAGTTGACGTTTTGCCTTCTTAGATGAATCCACTGAATTAACTACCCCATTGGTTAGGGGAATGGAGAAGAATCCAGTAGTTCTCTTGTACTCATTCACCTATCTAGCTGAAGATTCCACAAATCGATATTTCTTTAACGGTTCGCAGTCACGCTTCACCAGATTTTTACTCGGGGAGGCTAACAGTTTACTTGCTTGAGATGTGTCACTCTGCGCAAATGTCCGTTAGCATGTGCACAAAGTATTGGACAGCATTCCAGTGACATGACCACTTAACTGCAAGCTGCACCCCTCATATTTCGGAGTGCACCACTGTTAGTCTGAGAAGGAGCCTCTTCACTGACGTTCGAACGACCGTTGCTATTTGGCTACCAGTGTCCTATTCACAAATTCGCGAAAAGTAATCTACTGGCATTTTATGAGTAATATCAATTTAATCCCTCTTAGTCACGGGCCATCGCATGGGGAAGCAGCATACTTCATGGATTCAATGCTATTTGCATGCTGTTCTGAGTAACAATCTAAATGCTCTCACACGGTTTTATGCTACTACGTCACGTTCAGAAGGTCCATATTTAATACCACAGGTTGTATTTAGCTTAGGCGTCGCTTCGCTAGTTGATGGGTTCATCATACTCCTTGGCTTTTAGATGATATCCTGATCATATATGTCACAGGGAATAGCGGAGAAGGTACAATAGGATCACACATAAGCTGGGTGGGACGTGTGCCAAGCGGTACACCTTTATTGGAAACAGACGTATCTGCGGATTGCTGTGATGAGTGAACTTCGACGTAAGCTGGTTCCAGACGAGCAGTACTCACGGTGTTTACAACCGTTCTGGTCCAGCACGAAATACTTGTCTTTGCGAACGATGACTTTGTAGGGGTTTTGTCAAAGGTTTGGGAACAATGCGATGCGTACCAGGACGTACGGACCATCGCAAAGATCGGAATGAACCTGCTGTCTACGTGGCATGAGTCATGGTGGTGTTGAACGTATCGAACTAAAGGGAATTTTCAGGTGTGTGACACAGGAAGTTAGACCTACTTCTTCATTGATCCAAATACACCACACTTTCCCTGGGAAGTCTAACTGGCGCGCCAACGATTAGCTCAGCAGGGCAACGGCCCAGATCTTCCAAGACGGTGTTACGTATGTCAGGCAGGATGATTAGCAAACGCTCCGACCGTTCCATTCTTGATTGAGAAGCATAAATCGAAGCCTTCGGTTGCCGTTCGACCAAAGCATTGGCAACTGGATAGTAAGCGGTTGTGGGTAACTGAGAAGGACCGACCAAAAGACTCAGGCCACGAAACAACAAGAAGTGAACTGCGGTCTTCTGTCAGTAGTGATAGTGGCAGGTGTGCCAAAGAAAGCAATCCACGTTTCGATGAAGGTTCGTGCTATTGTTTCAGAAGCGTCATCTCGCAATGGCACTGCATGCGGTTAACGTGTAAATCTGTCAAGACGTCAGCAAGTGCTGACACCAATGGGAAGGATGCAAAGGACCAACGATGTCCAGGTGCCTGAAGGGAGCTTTTGATAACGAAAAGGTACCAGGGACATTGATTGTATGACGGTGTACCTTGCTTATCCGACACGTACTACTGTGCTTGACCCATTTGGATGTCAGAGTGCATATTGTGCCAAACAAAGCTATTTGTGATCAACCAGACAGTTGCTCAAATACTCGGATGCGAAATTCCGTGAAAATAGTCGAGAACTATTCACTGGTATCGTTCAGGAGAGAAAGGTTGGGGATTGCGATCGGACACATCATAGCTAAGTTTGAAGTTCGAGTTAAGGATTGGCAGCAAAGTGAGTCTGATCAAAGGGTCTAAGCTCGTGCACGCAAACACAGACTCTCTCTCCTAATGCACTGCGAGTTCTTCAAGGTCTATCGTCTGATTCGGAAGTTCGTGAAGCCTTATGCGGGACATTGCGTTGGCTACGAAGTTGCCCGCCGAGTCTATATGACAAATGTCGGTCCTAAACTGCTATATGTAACTGGTTGATGAGTTTCACGAGGAGGAACGCGGTTCGAAGAACAATGGATGGCGAAAACAAGTGGCTTAAGATCTGCAAGAGCGGCGAGTGCTCGATCTTCTAGAAGATGTCGAAAGTGTCTGCCAGCCGAATGTTCTCATTCAATAGTATCATATCTCATCTCATTTTCCGGAAAGAAAAGGGTAGGAGTTCACTCGAACCATTGATGAGTTATTGCAGAACGTCCCCAATAAAGGTCTGTGACGCATCGGCTTTAAGAAGGAGAGGTGTATCTGCATAATTTCTTAAGTGGATCAGTGCAGTAACGTCGGACAGAGCATGCAGGATCTTGTCGAAGCCTCTGGACCGAAACAATCGACGAGCGGACAAGGACCGAGGTAGTTTACATGCTTTCGAAGGTTTGCGAACGCTCGGATCATCGAACCCTCCTGCACAAACTGCAGCTGCACATCATCGGAGATCCAGTATTAGTATGGATTAGTAACTTTCTCCGCGAACGGCAATTGGAGGTTAGAGTCAGAGGATCTGTCCTACCCGATTCCAGTAGAGTGCGACGTACCGCAGGATTCGGTACTTGAACCTCGCGTGTTCTTAGTTTTCCTCAACGGTCTAGCGAAAGCTATCGCTTCAACATTTTTACTTTTCGCAAACGACGTTAAAATTTGGCGGGCGACCAAGGTAACGGATGATCAAGAGATCCTCCAGCGCGATCTCCATGAGGCCTGGCATTAATCGGTAAGGAACGCACTGCCATTTAATGTGGACGAGTGCAGCGTTGCCCACATCCGCCATCGATGCGCCTTCATCGAAAAACTTGAGGCGCACAATCTTCAGACCAGCCCACAGGAACGTGACATCGGTGTGCTGGTAAAAGACGACCTCGGTTGTTCCAGACAGGAAGAAGCCGCTTAAAACAGAGGTAACTAGCATGTTTGTCTCTTGCGGAGGGTATTCGGGAGTCCGGATTCATCCATCTTCACTCTGATGCTCAATGCGCAAGTGCCTCCCCACGTCGAATAAGAAATCCAGGCTCGGAATCCTTGGCCAAAGCGCCACCTTGCGGCGCCTGAAACTCCCGAAGTTCTTTCAAAAATTTTGTCAATGGATTGCGCAAACTACCGTATAGCAACGGCTGAAGACACTCAGATTGTTCAGTGGGCGCTATCGGCGGCTATGTGATGACTTCATATTACTCTACCAAATAATGAAAGACCCCACTCACGTATGCCGCCACCTTTTGATGCTCAGCGCAAACACCAACCTCAGAGGCAATAGCCTGAAACGGAGGCAACAACACAGTTATCTGGATTGTCGACGAAATTCATTCTCCTTCCGGGTCTGTCAATTCTGGAACGCCCTTCCAAACATAGTTGTCTGCACCCCACCTTAGCTATTTTCGAAAAAAGCGATTAGGTATCGAATTGAAACCTCTATACTATGTTACTTGAACGGATATTCTGGATTTATTCTGCCTAACTAGCCACTTTAGAATTATGAACCCTATTAGCGCACGTAAATTTTGCAGAGGGGTGAGCATTTTGCTTTT